CTACAATCCCCCCACTCTCAAGCCCTTCACCCTGTCCTATAAAGGGCTGCACCAGCTTTTCCCCAAGGCAGATCACCTCTGCAGGAGAAAAGCTCCCCTTCACCTTACGTGCTAACACACAGTCCTGTCTGTCGGCCAGATGCCTGTCTCTTTTCTGCCTCCTGTCCCTTTGAGCTGTCTCAGAAATCTAACACACACCCTATAACCTATGACATAATGCTAACCTCTGAGCACTTTACAGTTTTAGGAAACACTTGGTAAAGAAGGAGGCCATGTGGGGCTGGGACAGAACGGCTCAAGAAGCTTTTGAACGGGCTAAGATCCCCGTAGGATGGGCTAAACGGCTGTGTCCCTTTCACACTGTTCTCAACCTGTGGGTCGCAACCCCTTTGGGGATCCCACCACAGGTATCCTGCATGCCAGATATTTACCTTACAATTCATAGCAGCAGCAAAATTGAAGTTATGAAGTAGCAACTAAATAATGCTGTGGTTGGTGGTTGGGGGTCACCACAGCATGAGGAACTGTATTAATGGCGCAGCATTAGGGAGGATGAGAACCACTGTATTAGAAGTCACCAGAAGCTCAGTGGGCTACAGCTGGGGGCAATAGCAAAAGCAAGCCGAGTGAATGATTCCAACAGCATTTGGGTCTCAGTCCTGAAAAGGGGCAGCCACTCCATACACAGTGCTGGAGCAGCGACTGCCGCTGCACAGAAAACATTTCAGAGAAGCCACAGCCACCAACTCCAGTTCAGCAGCCACGGAGCCCCACGACGACTCACCAGCCCCGAATCCTTGGACTTGTTCCATTCAACCATGGTGGGTTACAATGGAGTCCTAGGTGTGCAGAGATATGATTTACCTTTTCCCAGCCCTGATGCTCTATTCACAGGGAATGGATGTCCAGTCTCCTTTTTCCTTCATCTCAGCCCTCATGTTTGTCCTGACCATATTCCATTCCTCTCTCATGCAGACGATTGCAACTGACTCCCATAAAGACACCTTCTCCACTCTACTCAATACACAACCACCCCAATGGCACTGTGTGTGCGTGCGTGTGTGTGTGTGTGTGTGTGTGTGTGTGTGTGTGTGTGTGTGTGTGCCAGCCCCTATGTGTAACTTTTTAAAGCTTTTAGAATCACTGTTGAAGTTTAATAGACAAATTATCCACAGGCTGAGAAAGTTTTAAAAATAAGGTACAGTTTCCTTCCCTCACAGGCAACTACTATTATAAGTTTCTTTTCTTTCGAGAAAGATCCCATGTATCTCTATGGACAGTAGACAAGTATGATTCATTCTTAGTTTTAACTCACATGATTGATAACTCTTCCTGTATTATCTACCATCCAGTAAAGCAGCCAGCACCCACATATGAGTTGGCCAGCTTGACATGTGGCTAATGTGACCAAGATGTTAATAGTTTACCTTTTAAAGATTATAATTTATTTTTTCGAGACAGGGTTTCTCTGTGTAGCTTTGCACCCTTCCTGGAACTCACTTGGTAGCCCAGGCTGGCCTCGAACTCACAGAGATTTGCCTGGCTCTGCCTCCCGAGTGCTGGGATTAAAGGCGTGTGCCACCACCGCCCGACTAACAATTATAATTGTGTGTCTGGGTTTGTGAGTGGAAGTGCCCTTGAAGGTCAGAAGCCCCAGAACCTGGAGCCAACGTTACAGGTGGTTATGAGCTGCCTGAAACGGGTGCTTGAGAGCTAACCTCAGGTCCTCTGGAAGACCTGCCAGCACTCTTAACCACGGAACCCTCTCTCCAGTGCCAAAAATGTAATGTTTTAAATATATGTTATATTGAGTTGAGATTTTTAAAAACCAGTGACTTGATATGGACAGGTAATTTTCAAACTGGTTGCCTTTGCATCGAGTCAAATCACTTCTAGCTAGAAGAACAGAGACCACAGGCGTAGAAGCACAAGAATCACTAAAGGGAATTTGTGTGGTCATTACCTACAGTTACAAGAGCTGTTCCGTCATCCACTCCCACCACCCTGCTCCCAGCCTCCCTCTCTCATCCTAGGATAGGTGTCCCTTCTCATGCCCCTCCACATGCAGGACACAGCTGCCATTTTCCTCAGTTCAAGTCCCATATTGGAAGTCTCTGGTCACCAGTCCCCAGGGCATCCCCCAGCATGGGGCCCTGGGCTGGGAAACACTTGCCACATGTGTGCTTATTGACCCTGGATCAGAAAGCTCTTGGGAACCATAGTTGCCATCGGTGGTGGTTAGTTTTAGTTGTCAATGTGACGGAATCTACAGTCACCTGGGAAGAGTCTTAGTGGGGGGTTGTATATATCAGGTGGGCCTGTGGGCATGTCTGGGGATTGTCTTGATTATGAATTGATGTGAGACGACACAGCCTGAAAGTGGGCGTCAGCTGGGCTTAGGCTGGATTACACATGAATGAGTAGAGAGAGCTGCTGAGCAGCGGGTATGCTGAGCAGCAGGTATGCTGAGCAGCGGGTATGCATGCATGCATCCGTCCCCTCTGTGTTCTTGACCATGGCTGGGCTAGCCGCTTGAGTCCCTACCTGACGACCCCCCAGTGATGGACTATAACCTGCAAACAGACTAAGCCCTCTGTCCCTCAAAGTTGCTTTTCTCACGGTATTTTTTTCACAGCAACAGAAGCAGAACCGGACCACCATCTCTCATCTCTGCTCACTGGTAGCTGCCGACTGAAATGCCAGTGAGGGGTTCTTGGGGCTGAAGATCTTGCTGGGACCCTCAGGGCACACGGTAAAGAATCCCTTAGCTCTATATGAAGAATCTGGCAGGGTGTGAACAGTGTGTGGAGAGGACTTTATGCCCAGCTCTGCCAGCCAGCCACTTTCCCTAAGCTATTCCCTGCTCAACAACTCGAGCAAAGGGAGTAAGACCCCCCCTTTCTGCCACACTGGGAGGCCCGTGTGAGACCCTGTTTCAGAGGCCTGCCTTTGTTAGGACTCAGGACTGTAACAGTCTTGGGAAGAGAGAAGACTGCAGCGCTAAAGAATCTCACGTTGAAATAATGAAAAGGCTGGAGCCTGGTGCCAGCCAGGAGGAACTTCTCAGAGAGATTTCAATGCCACACTGGCAACTTGTCAACCATCTTACAAGTGTGACTAGAGGAGGCACTGGTGGCTCGGTGACGACTGTGACCTCAGTGGGACTACATCTGACCGAGACTGCTGAATATGCACACCCCTTGCAGTCCATTTAAAACGGAATTTCAGGGGCTGGAGAGATGCTCAGTGGTTAAACATATTGGATGCTCTTCCAGAGGACCAAGGTTTGGTTCCCAGCATCCACATGGTGGCCAGTCTTCTGTAACTCTAGTTCCAGGTGATCTGATGCCCTTCTCTGGAATCTGTAGACGATAGGCATGCACATGTAGTATAGAGACATGCACACAAGCAAAACATTCATACACAAAAATTACAAAATACCTTTAAAAATTTAATCCAAACTTTATGTCCATGCCTGGAAGACAGACTCTGGGGTCACTGCAGCTCTTTGTCGTCTTCCCAATATGGCCACATTAGTAAATCTTTTTCTGTGTTCACTATTATCTGTCTGTAATTGGGGGCTGACAGCAGAGCCCCGCTTAACGGCCTGTCAGGGACCACACTTGGGCCCTAAGGTCTCAGATAACAAACCTTAGGGATCCATGGAGACTGTTAATGATACGCCATCCCAGGCGGTTCCCATTTGCTCAAGGTACCCAGAAGCTGAGCCAGCATCTGGACACCTGTCTCTCCTTCCCTTCTGAGTTTCAGCAGACATTCCGTCCTACCTGGAGCCCCCTAACACCCCTACAGCCAGTCTGAGACCTTAAGTCGTTTCACTTAGGACGGGACCTCAGGAATGGCCAGGAAAAGCAGCATGTGGAGCCACCAAGGATGGCAGCCCCGCAGGAGCGCCCTCCCTTCTCAGGGTGCATTCCTGGAAGGAGTTGACTGGCAGGAAAGTCTCCCTAGGGATTTCCATCACCCTGGAAAGAAAGGGCAGCCCTGAGTAACTGCGACTGTAAAAGAAAGTTCCTCAGAGAGCACATCAGTCCTTCAGCCCTCAGGGGAATGGTCCACCTGGCCAGCAGAGACCTGGAAAGGCTTCAGCTCCTCCGATAGGAAGCAGTAACATAAGGTATCTGCCCATGTTCAAGTCTTTGGCCGTCTAGCTGGAGACATGAGTCAGGGTCAAGGAGCAGGTGCCAATCCGGGGGGCGGGGGGCACTAGGTAGGTAGAAACACATCCAGCCTCGCACTTCTACATGTGGAGATCCAGGAAATAGGGGTGGTGGATCTGAGGAGTGGAGCTGGAGGCAGGGCCGCAGGAGGGAGGGTCTGCTCGGAGCCTCTGCAAGGAAGAGACTAACGCCAGCCCAAGTTAGGCCGATGTGAGTGAGAGACATCAGCAAGGAGGTGACAGGAGAGAGACAGACGCCTGGAACGGAGACGAAGGCAGCTAGCCAACGGCACGGGCGTTCTCTCACTGGACACACAAGATAAGCCAAAGCAACAAACCTGCTACCTTGGTACTGAAGGAGCCTCAGTTTCCCCATCTGTGGCTTTCTAGTGGAAGATCACCTGTTCAAACCAAGTTCTTCCAAAAGTCATTCCCTCAAGTGACCCCAGTCACGGGCTGAAAGATGACAGAGACAGAGGCTGGAGAAGAAGAGGCAAAGGGGGTAAGATCTGTCTGACACTAGGGAACCCGGAGCCAGGTTGGGACAGGGGTGGAGGGACACCCACCCTGGGGACAGTTGTCTTGATGGCAGCTGCAGCCCTGGTGCAGGGAGGGTTAAGCATTTTGCAGTTCCCATCTGCCCTGGGCTGGCATGTCCTCCCACATTTACGTCTTCTGAAAAATATTCAGCCTGTAGCCGGTCTCATTTGGTGCTCCAGGCCCTCCCCCTCCCCCTCCCTTGGCCCAAGCCAAGAGGAAGGTCAGGGGACTTTGGGAAACGGGAAACTCCAAAACTCCGGACTCTGGGAGAAGGGTCAGTGGGGAAAGGCGGGGCTGTGGGGACCAAAGGAGAGAAAAGGGAGATGAGAGGGCGAGAGGGAACAGCTTCCCGGGAGCTGCCCCAGGGACCGCACAGGGAAAGGCTGCGCTAGAGCAACGAACCTGGTGTTTTTCAAGGTACCAGCGAGGGGCTGGGGATTTGGGAGATGACGGGAAGACCCAGAGGGAAGAGAACATGGCTCAGAAAGAGGCTATCGTGGCCACAGCCAGCCGGACTACTTCCTGGGGCTGTTGACAGGGAACTCTAAAACTTTGCTGGCACCAGGAAACAAGGCCTGGCAGAGTGGGAAGGGCCAGTTGGATTCCCAGTGGAGATTCGGAAAGGGCCACTTCTCCTGGCCCCAGGAATAGGTCAGGGGAGAAGGTGACCCCCCACCGCCACCCCAGCTCTGAGAGCTGAAGACCATACACCATCTTTGCAGGACCCGAAGGCGTGCGGTGAAGCCATGAAGCGCCTGCTGATCTCCCTGGCCTTCTGGCTGGGCGTGGTGGGCATACACGGGACGGAGCTGGAGCTCAGCGAGACACAGCGCAGGGGGTTACAGGTGGCCCTGGAGGAGTTCCACAAACACCCACCCGTGCAGTGGGCCTTCCGAGAGATCGGGGTGGACAGCGCTGACGATACGGTTAGTGCTGTGACAGGGTAAGGGGCGGAGGACCGCCGCCCTGGAGACCAGGGAACGCCAGGCAGCCATCCCCCCAGGCTGTGCCAATTCTAAGGTACGGGGTTTGCGGGAGGAGAGGAGTTACCTGCTGGCCTTCTTGTCTGTCTATGTCTGTCTGTCTGTCTGTAGCTCTACTCAGCCGGCACCTTTGTGAAGTTGGAATTTAAGCTCCAGCAGACCAGCTGCCTCAAGAAGGACTGGAAAAACCCCGAGTGCAAAACCAAACCAAACGGGGTGAGTGAAGGGCTCTTTTGACGGGAGCAGCTGCCTGGGTATGAACTGGAGCCCAGAGAAGCCCTGTGCTCATCACTGGGGGCTGTGGGCAAGGAAGTGGGAAATTTCTCCGTCAGAGAGGGACCACCGTCTAAGCTCCTCCTAAAGAGCGTCTCTAAGGAGCTTCTCCTGTGCCCCGACCAGACTATGGCCGGTTCGCTGCAGGGTTTCACAGTCATCAGCCTCCCTAAGGGGCACTGCTGCTGTGGCGTGACCTCTGGGCTGAAGGTACAGCACTTTGGGTTAAGGTCCTTGCTCTCTAACTAACAGCTTTGTGGGTCACTGAAGGTCTTGGTTCCCTCCATCAGGGAAGGGAAGGGACTGGGTTATACTGGTGATTTACAAGATCTTGGTTCGAGGACCTTTTGTCCAAATTAAATCTTAGGGGGGAATGTAAATATTAGGACAAGGTGGTAAGGGCCCTTGCTGTGCGAGCATGAAGACCTAAGTTTGAATCCCCAGCACCCATATGAAAACAGCTGGGTGTGGACACACATGCCCAGAACTCCTGCACAGTAGTATGCAGAGGATACTCAAGGCTGGCTGGCTGCCAGCCTAATTCCGGGTTCAGTGAGAGATTCTGTCTCAAGGGAATGAAAGAGGATATAGCAGGACACCCAGACGTCCTTGTCTGACACAGAGCGTGTGTGTGTGTGTGTGTGTGTGTGTGTGTGTGTGTGTGTGTGTGCACGCACACACACACACACCAGAGAGAAACAGAAACAGACACCATCTGGGGAGGGTTCTTGCCTTTATACATGTTTGCACACTCACACAAGCACTTGTGAACACACCCATGCAGAATACGGCATGTGAGCAGTAAACTTACGCATGCTCACACAGGAATGATTCCCACACAAGTACTGCAGTCTGCAGGCAAGGCAGGGTAGTATACACTTGAAATTCCAGCACTGGGGAGGTTAAAGCAGGTGAACCACAAGTTCTAGAGCAGTCTGGGCTGCTTCTTAAGACCAGGCCCAAAGAAGAGAACTTCTAAAAATCTCCTACCCCAGGGTGGACTGCATGTCCATCTGGCTTGCCTATCCCCTTACCCCTTGGATTAGTTATATTTCTGTTGCTGTGATAAAACACAATGACCCAAACCAACTAGTAGGAAAGCTTTATTTCGCCTCACAGTTCCAGAGGGATAAAAGTCCATCATGGCAGGGAGGCAGGGAGATGCATCTACCAGCAGGCACCGTATCCAGAGCAGGAATCTGAGGGCTCACATCCTCAAAAGCAAGCAGGAAGCAGAAAGAGTGGCCTGCCCCCGTGACACATTTCCCCATCAAAGGCAAACCTAACCGTCCCGAAACAGCCACCAACCAGAGAGCAGGTGTTCGAATATCTGGACCTATCAGGCACATTCTCACCCAAACCACTACCTCCCTCCACTCTAGAGAACGCCAAGGCCAGGCCCCACTGACCTTCGTGGTGTCCTCACTCCTTTTTCCCTCTCTCACACTCTCCACCCCAGAGAAAGCGGAAATGCCTGGCCTGCATCAAATTGGACCCCAAGGGTAAAGTTCTGGGCCGGATGGTCCACTGTCCGATACTGAGGCAAGGGCCTCAGGTAAGAAGGGACAGAGGTTAGGGAGGGGGCGGGAGCAGCCCACGCCTGGGTCTGTGGGATAAGCACCGGAAGCTGGAAGGAGAGTGGGATGGGGTGGCTGAGACACTCCCCGGGCTGCGGTGGTGCCTCTCCCCCCAGGCACCGCTGCAGCACCCTGGTCCTGGCAGGAGCCTCAGGAGGTCCAGTGCACTAAGGTAGAACAGGCTGGCGAGGACCCCCGCAGCTACTTCTTCCCTGGACAGTTTGCCTTCTCCAGGTCCCGGCAGCCCAAATAAGCCCTGCACAGGTAGGCTATTGGAGGGGAGAGAGCGCCCTTGGCGTGAAAACCGGACGGAGGGAGGCAGAGAAGGGGTGTGCGAAACTTGGCTGAAAGCTAAGATCAGACCAAAACCACCTCGTTCGTACTCAGTCTGGTTTCCCCTTCTTCTCTAGAACTCCATCTTCCTGTGCAGCTGTGGCAGCAGCCAGTGGAAGCACACCGGCTCCCAAAGACGAAATATTCCAAGCTAATAAAATTGCTGAGTCTGTTCATTTCCAACCTTGTGTTGTTGCTCTTCCCGCAGCTCAGCCTGCACATGTAAGGAAAGCTCAGGGTTGGGTGTGTAAGTGAGTCCCCACACTTCCTGCCTAGTACAGGAAGGAGCATGTAGGGTGAGTGTAGAATCTCCTACAGGACCAAAACGGAGGCATGGAAGCCTGCACTTTTGCTGAGGAAGAGACAAGAAATGATCCAAATGAGCAGAGAACTATTTAATCAGTTAGCAGGTGGCAAGTAACCTTGCCCACAAAGCCTCAGGCTCGGCACTTGGGAGAGCCCGGGCTCAGCATGCCCCTGGACCTGGCTGCAGCATTTGCCAGATCGTGAGGGGAATCTCCTATACCTGCTAGAGGCCAGCCGGAAAGCATGTCCCTGCTCGTGTGTTAGGATGCTCTCAAGAAAGGGGTAAATGAACAACCTACTTTGCAAGGTCAGTGACCAGAGAAAACCAGAGAGGCAAGGGCATGGGGTAGGAAAGAGATGTAGGCAACATCACGACAATGAGAATACCTGGGCTGTGAGGCGCATTCAGAAGACAAAGGAAGAGGTGGTTTCTGCCGGGCTCAGGGCCTGCTGGGCCTGCGCCAAGCAGTCACCGGCCTGGCGGTCCAGGTCAAGGCATTCCTGCAGTGTGTCCTGGAACTGCCTGCAGGCCTCTTCCAAAATGGAGCTGTTCTGCATGGGCCAGAATTCCCAGTAGTCAGGATCCACCCATGGCTGGGCCTCTATTGCTCTGGGGCCTGGGCTGGAGCTGGGGCGCAAGGAACTGTCCAGGTCTCGGCATAACTGGTACAGCTCACTGCCCTGCCCACTCACACGTTCCCCGTCTATGACTTTGAGACCAGGTAGCAGCTCTCGAACCACAGCCCAGTAAGAGGGACTGGCGCATAGCGGGTTGCTTAGCCGGGCCAAAGGGTCCCGGAGCCTCAGGTGCTCCAAGCCCTGCAGCCCAGCCAGACACTGCAGCTGGCTAGGAGTAGCCAGCAGGTTACCAGCAACATTGAGGCTCTGCAGGTTTTCACAGGCTGCCAGTGGCTCCAGCCCTGTGAGCCGATTATTGGAGACATTGAGCACAGCCAGCTGGCGCAGGGATGCCAGTGGGCCCAGGTGGGTAAGTGCGTTGCCCGATAGGTCAAGCCACTCAAGGCTCAGGCACTCCCCCAAACAGCCCAGGTCCACCAGCCCCAAACCCCGAAGTTTCAGCAATAGGATGGAATCAAGGGCAAACTCTCCAGAGCGGGACTTCAGCAGCTGGGGTGTGATGCTCAGCATCTCGGTCTCTCCTGGCTTCTCTCCAGGAGGCTCCATGATACTGAGGATTCAGATGGCCTGGCCCTGGCAGTGCTTAGAGTCACAGGGATGTGGTGTCTCTGGGGATCAGCCAGCTGCTCTCCTTCATCTCTACTGGGGCCCTAAAGAGAGAGAGAGAGAGAGTCAGGCCAGCCTCTCCTGAGCATCTGTGTCCTGTGCTACAGGGAACAGCAGGATGCCATGCAGACAGCATGAAATCCTTGTGCTCACAGGAACCAGAAAATGTTAAACACAGAGAGAGAGGGAGGGAGGGAGGGAGGGAGGGAGGGAGAGAGAGAGAGAGAGAGAGAGAGAGAGAGAGAGAGAGAGAGAGAGACCTGTTTTCTGCTCAGAGGGTTGGGAATGGAAGTGGTTAACAGCCTAGGTGACCTCTGTGCTATCTGTATGACCAAGATCACACCAGATCCTCCCTTGGGACCTTAAGATGACGCATGTATTCTATCTACAGAACCCATCTTTAGGGAAGAGGTGACATGTACTTTGAAAGGAGTTTCAATGTAATTATGCCTTAAACTTAATTGTGCAAATGAGATTGTTACACCAGAAAACTTTTTTCCAAATTATACTGTACTTAAAAATGCCTAAAATAACCTGCCTGGTGCTGGACTCTAGAGGTTTGAACCAACACCGGCTACTGAATCATGTTAAACTGGACTTTCTTCTTGCCTCACATGCATACTTTCTGGCCATGGTGTTTGCAGAGGCCCCCACAATGGCAGACCCACCAGCCTTGATTCTCGGAGTGAATGGCCAAGACAGCCAAGGCCTGAGACCATCTAAGCAACAGAGCAGGACACAGCCCCAGCCTGGGGAAGAGGCTCTGGCTCACTCCAATGGTCACATCCATGCTATATGAAGCTTAGGACCCATATTGCCAGTTTGGCTCTAATCTGGACTTCAAAAATATTGATACTTGAGCCGGGCATTGGTGGCACACGCCTTTAATCCCAGCACTCGGGAGGCAGAGCCAGGCGGATCTCCGTGAGTTCGAGGCCAGCCTGGGCTACCAAGTGAGCTCCAGGAAAGGCGCAAAGCTACACAGAGAAACCCTGTCTCGAAAAACCAAAAAAAAACCAAAAACAAAACAAAAAAAAAATTGATACTTGACTTTTCTAGTAACTATTATGATATACCTTTATTAACCCTAAGAGGTTCCTTTGGGAAAAGTTAAATTTTTTTACTGACTGGCTGTTTTATTGATATTTTTGAGACAGGGTCTCATGTAACCCAAGTTGGCTTTGAGTTCTTAATCCCCCTGCTCTCCTCCATGCCACCCCACCCCTGAGAACTAGGATTACAGACTTATACCACCACTCCTGGCTTAGCTTTATTTTTAAATAGACAACAGGTAATTGCCACCTTCCAGGCATGCAGACTCAATGAGAACATGCTGTAACGTCTTTCATTCACTCGAAAATGTTATTTCCATCTTCCCAACATTATCACTAAAATTAAAATGGTATCTAGAGTATGCAGACCAACTTATACCTCTGGCTAGAGCTCTAAGGCCTGAGAGGTAGGTAGGCATTTAGTCCTAGGCACAGAGGAAACTGGTCAAGAGGGGCAGGACAGGGTGCGGTGAGCGGGTTTCACACTGTTGCTCCAACTCCAGGCAACCACTCTCCCACCCCCCTAGCTCCCCAACCAGCTCCTCTGCTTCCGCCTCACTTCTCAGGTCAGCATGAAGGCAATGACCACCCTGTGCTGGACGGCACAGTGCAGCTGAAGGCATGGCACCACAGCCCAACAGGGCAGGCTAGGGGAGGCGAAGAAGTCCAGGAAGCCATTTTGGAGCAAGGAGCAGGAGTGCCTAGGACAGTTCTGAAACATGGGGAGGGCGAGCATGTCATCGGCGGCTGTGGGACAGTGAGCCCATGTGTGTGTGTGACGTCACTGTGAGGAGTCTGCCTGTGGGGGAGGGGCAACGCTGATGCTGCCCACAGAGGATAAAAGTTCACTCGGATAGAAAAACAAAAGCAGGCTTCATTCCAAATACCATTCCCAAACTGCAGACTTTGGCCGGCCCCGACTCAGGAGTCCGAGCTAGATGGGTAGTTACACCTACAAAGAACATTAGGTCACTGCCAATGCCAAGGCTGCTCAGAGCCTGTAGCTGGAAGGCTCTGGGGGCTCCCAAGACTAAGTTCACATGAGCAACACAACACCGCTTAGTGTCCTCTCCTCCGAGGAAAGCAGGCTCGGAGCACCATCCATCGGTGATGGCTACTCACTGGCACTGTCTTCAACGAGCTCCCCACCAAGGATGTGACGAGGCTAGGCATGGATCTTGCACACCCTCTCAACAGTACATCTGAGGAGGGTATTCTTGACTTCATGATAGTCATTCCTCTGTCAGCTCACTAGCCTGTAACATTCCAGTCCTCTGGGATATCTGGGACATCTGGGACATCTGGGTATTAGGTAACGCACCACAGCAGGGCCGGCAGCACTGGCAGACAAGCCCTCCTGCTGTACCCACTGTCCCTGTCACCCCCTCACCTGGGCTGCCCACAGCTGGACCCCTTTCCCACTCAAGCCCTTGCTTACTGACGGGCCAGGACTAACATGTGCGACCACCCCTGAGATTTACATTGCCTGACGACAGTCTGACACCCAACACAGGAGATGCAGCTGGTATTACGTCCATGAAACAAACAAAACCTCTCGGATGTCCGGAATGGGCTTGGTCTGGGGAATGTGGGGCATAATCAACCTCTGTGATCCTTCCTTTCTGATAAGACATTTCAAGCCAGGGGGCTCTTAAAGGCTTGGCCCAGGCCCTGACTTCTTCCTCATGCCAGGACACAAGAGCTTTTTCATATACACTCCCTCCCCCCCCCCCAGACAGGGTTTCTCTGTGTAACAAACCTGGCTGTCTTGGAACTCTGTAGATCAGGGTGGCCTGGAACTCACAGAGATCCGCCTGCCTCTGCCTCTGCCTCCTGAGTGCTGAGATTAAAGGCATGTGCCACCACCACCCAGACTTTCATATACTTCTTAAGGTGCCAGATGGACTGTGGTGGTTTGAATGAAAATGGCCCCCACAGGCTTATGGGGAGCAGCACTATTAGGAGGTGTGGCCTTGTTGGGGGGAAGTGTGTCACTGAGGGGGGGCTTTGAGGTTTGAGATGCTCAAGCCAGGCCCGGTGTCCCCCTCTCTCTTCCTGCTGCCTATGGGTCCAGATGTAGGACTCTCAGCTCCTTCTCCAGCACCATGTCTGCCTGCACGCCACTGCGCTTCCTACCACGATGATAATGGACTGAACCTCTGAACCTGTAAGCCAGCCCCAGTTAAATATTTTCCGCTGTAAGAGTTGTCGTGGTCATGGTGTTCAGCAATAGGAACCATGACTAAGACAGGGACCATGAGGATGTCAGCTTGCCCTGTCTCCGCATCTTCCCTAGAATGGTTTACCTCCAACCTGTCATGACTAGTCACGTGGGAAAGCTGAAGGAAGGGCTGGACAGTTAGGTTAGAGGAGGCCTGGCCAACAGTGAGCAGCCAAGGCTTGTCTTCTTCCCCGCCTTCTCCCCTCCCTCTCCATTCCCACACCTCTGCCTGGACACCTTCTCAGGTGGACAGGCACAAGTTTGCAGCCATGAGTTCTGGAGACTCCTTCTGGCTTACTCTGCCCACATGGCCAGCACTTCACCTGGGAAATAGTGATTTCTCCAAAGAACATGTTTTTCTCTTCCCAATGTAGGCAGTTGGGTATAGAACCTTCTCCCTGCTTCTCCAGGAAAACTTGGTCAGCTACAGGACCAATGTGCCACTTGGTAGGGAGCAAGGGCTGTTTCTTCGTAAGGACAAGTCTTTTTCATGCTTTTTTCCAGGAGCAAGAGGTCCTGATTTTCCCCCCTTGTATTCACAAGGTCATCTTTATGCCCAGAAAATCAATTTACCCTGTCTTTGACAGGTCTTCCCTCAGCCCAGCTAAGTCTAAGGGGAGGTCTTGGTAGCTCTGGTGTTGAAGTCAGGCCTGGGATAAGCTAGGGTGGCAGCTGGGTTTTTGGGCCTGGTCACAGGAGAGTTGGTGCTCACAGCAGGGTCTTCCTGTCCCACTGATCCTGGGAGTGTCCTCTCTAGGGTGACTTATCTTTTCCCATTTCAATACGCTTGGAAACTTGGGAGAATGAGAAGATGAGCCCAGGCAGCAAGGCAATATGAAAATCATGCCTCTCAGTCACCCTCTGTAATTCTGGGGACTTCAAGGCCAGAGGCCAGACAAGAAAGAGAACCAAAGAGCATGAGGCAGTGAAATACACAAACGACAGTGAGAAGCAATCTCAGGACACAACTCCTTGGCGAAGTGTGATTCTATTCTTCCAGCTGGGTCTCATGGTCCCCTGCACACTGGACCTGTGTTCATCATTTTTGCCAACTAACTGTTCTTCTTTTTCCTTCAGTGTCTGAGGTCAGAGGCACCTGATCTTTTTGTTTTGTGGACAAAGCATGCAAAGGTCCTGTGGTCATTCACTAAGCCATGCTGATGGGGACTAACCTCAGGAGTGAGCAGTGTTTCTGGGACTGCATGGCTCCAGATCTCTGGATCCTGACCACCTGGGCTGCTCTTGGTACCAAGAGACCAGACACAATGTGCTACGTGACTCACCTGTTAAATTAGCAGCTAGCCTGCAGAGTCCTAGGCTAGAGGCTTTGCTCATGTACTCTGCAGTTCCTTCTTGGGAAGTCAGCTGTGAAAAGTCACAGGGCAGTTATGTTCTCCAGGAGCTGGACCAGAGGTATCTGTGGTGATATTTTGTTTGTGCTCTAATCAATTAAGCTTGCCTGGAGATCAGAGTATGGAGTTAGCCACTAGAGGCCAGGCAGTGGTGGCACACACCTCTAATCCCAGCACTTGGGATCTCATGCCTTTGATGCTAAAACCTGCAACCTACAGATGAACAATCTTCTGGCATCTGTTCACCTGGACTAGGAAATGCTTTGATCCTAAAACCTGCAACCTACAGATGAACAATCTTCTGGCATCTGTTCACCTGGACTAGGAGATGCCTCTGCTCATACCATGTGTTGTCTGTTAGATTATGACGTTCTCTTTATTCTTCTGCCAATTGTTCCCAGGAGCATGCTCAGAAGGGACCTTGCCTCCTAATTCTACCCCGCTGCACCCCACCAGCCTTGTTCAGCTCAACTCACCCTGGGCCTTCCACAGTTCCACGGCATACAAACTCGCCAGCTTCCTCTCTCCCACCTTTCTACTAAAAGAAGGTTGTGCCATGATGTCTCATCCCAACCGAGGTTTTGACCATTTGCTGAGAGATGTTTTAAATAACACTCAACCAGCCTTTGAGCTCACACTAGCAAAAAACAAAGCAAAAACCATGGATAGTTTCCTGCTGGAAGACGACACTTCCCAGCTTCCCTAGTGGGCTACCGAAGTCATTTCCACCCACTTCTGCCTCTCTAAGAGGCTGCATCCCATGTTCCCCTGCAGGCATTTTTGCTATCTACATCTGTGGGTGACAAAATGCTCCCTCGCCGTGAATAAACGTGGCCCCCGTAAAGTCAGACCAAGCCTTTCTTCCCGCCTTGCTCGCTCTCTCTCTCTACAGCTGCTCTTTTTAAATAATCTATGACACTCGCAGAACCCTTGTTGCTATGTCCACCCAGATGCTGCGATCGTGGGCTAGGGCGACCACGGCTGCACCCACCTCACGGGACCGTCACCGGTTAAGGCGGTTCTGTCTGTAACTACTCAGAGCAGTTCCGGGCGTTGAGGGAGTGACCACTTATAGCTGGCGGTTCCGGAAGGATCGGGCCTCCCGGGGCACACAGAGCGCGGCGCTACTGCACTTCCGGCGCAGGCCCAGCCTACTCCGGAACCCGCGAGTGGCCGGAAGGGGCGGGGATCCGTGATGCGCAGACGGGGCTGCGTCCGAGGGAAGGGCTGTGTCCCGCTCGGTGTACGGATTGCACAGATAGTCGGCCAGAGAAAATTCCAGTTCTCTGGTCTGGAAGCCGCGGGCAGTGGTGCGGGGGGATTTTGTTCCTGTTAATAAGTTTGGTCATTAGTTCATTTAGCGGTGCGGCGTTGGGGAGGGCATTGATAGATCCTTAACGGATGCGATTTCGGTGCCGGTCCGTGTGCCCGACGCAGGCCGGTGGTGACCTAGATTTTCTAATCCGTTAAATGGTGCCCGGTGCGTGCTCCCCAACCCGCCCGTGGTGGTGCGGTCATGCCCACCGCTTTGCACTGCAGACAAAAGGCGCCACAATGACGATAAGAAGGACCCCCCTCTTGGAAACGTTACCCATACTTTCAGAAACCTACCTCCCAGTGTTTCCTGAGACAAATGTGCACTGCCTGGGGATGCCCCCAGAGGTCTTGCACCCAGGGACGTCACCAGCGCAAACTGCCACCTTTGCAAATGACATTGTCCAAGGGGTAAAGAAGTCACCCTGACTGGACGCAGGGGAGAATCTTTCACTTTGGATTCACAGGCCACTTGGAGATTTCTACATTGGTCCGGGAGCTAGGATTTTCCATCTCCTGATGCTCCCCCTGCCCTCAGACAAAGCAATTCCAGGTCACTCCTCAAGCCTGGGCTGGCAAAGTATAGGCATTTTTGTTTTGATCCCATTTGAACCTCTTCGTGTGATGGACCAGCCTAAATCCATTTTAAGATTAGAAGCCATCTTGTTACAAGGTCAAAATAAGTTCGCTCTTGTTTTCTGTAAAACTTAAGTGTGACCATGTCTTGACCTGTTTTCTGGAGATGTTCCACTTAGTTCCTACGTAACCCAAATCCTTGGAAACCCCCTAGCCTTGCAGTTTGGAGGCTATAGAAAAACCTCTTTTTCCTGTGCTCAGTGTTACTCTCTCAAATCCCGCTTTAGGGAGATAGCCCTGTCTGACAGAAATAAAGCTTGCATAATTCGACCAGGAAATTTGGGTTGTTGGTCTTTATAGTCTTGTTCAGTGGGATTAACACGTGCTTCAGAAATGGGAGTGCTTATTTCTCCATTACCCATCACATGGCATGTTAGATTAAGGAATGTTAAGGATGCTAAGGAAAAATTGTCAAAAATACCTCTTAAGCTGGGCAGTGGTGGCACACGCCTTTAATTCCAGCACTCGGGAGATAGAGACAGGAGGATCTCTGTGAGTTCAAGGCGAGCCTGGACTACAGAGCAAGTTCCAGAACAGGCAGGGTGGTTACACAAAGATACACTTGGTGACACAAAGAAATACCCCCCCACACACACACACATAAAACCCCTCTTATGACAAGAAGGAAAACTATTCAAGAAGAAACTACTGTTGAGAATAAAGATTTTGATGGTGAAGTACTTATGTGTGAGGCCCTGGCTTCCAGCCTCACACCACCATGACAGTTGGTGTTCCAGTAGGGGAGAGTGGGCAGCCATACTCGGCTCCTAACACAGCTAGGACAATGGGAGAATTATAGCCCAGAAGCAGGAGTGGAGTCTGTGCCTAGAAAATAACCAAGTGCAAAAACACGCTCTCAAACATACTTAGACATTCTTGTCTCCTGGCAACAGCAGCCCACTCTCTCGTGCTTGACTTGAAACATTTTGACATTTTGCTTTTGGGAGTTAAGTCTAGCCCTGCCTTCTAAACAAACTATTTTTGTTTGTGGTTTGTCTTTTTTCCATTTAGAAGGTCAGTTCTCCCACAGTCTCTCTGTCCCTGCTGGCCCCTTCTGTGTAGCATACCTGATCTATTCCTGGTTTCTATGATCTGTTCTTGCAGCTTTCTGTTCCATTCTGTTCTCGTTGGCTGCCCCCACAGAAATACCTGCTATACTTCTTTTTACAGCAAAATCTAGATCTGAGAAATGCTAAAACTTCTCAAGTGTGCACATCAGCAGGTTTTGACAATACTCTCTGTATAACCACTACAGTCAAGATATGGGCTGTGCCATTTCCCAGCTAACCCCCTACCCTCCCTCCCACCCTTCCTCCCCAAGTAACTGGTAATCTTGTTACTAAGGACTAGATTACATTTTTCTAATCTCCCTCCCCCTTGGGTTTATTTAATTTTTGTTTGTTTTGTTTTGAGACAGAGTCTCACTGTGTAGCCCTGGCTGTCCTGGAATTCACAGAGCTCCACCTGCCTCTGCCTCCAGTGTGCTGAGATTAGAGGTATGCACCATTATGCCCAGCTTCTAGTCTCTTATGGAGCTGGAACGATATGGTATTGCTATGGCGTAGATACTGGTGCCCCCCCGAAACCCCCATCCTTATTTTGAAATTGTTATTATTATATGATGAGGCCTTTGGAAGGTGATTGTCTTGAAAGTGGAACCTTTGAATGGGTTTAGTGCCCTAATTAAAGAGATCTGGAGAGCTAACTTGTTCTTCATCATGTGAAAACATGTTAGAAGTCACTGTTTATGAAGAAGACATAAACATCCTTTGTTTATAAGCCACGGCCCCGCAGTATTTTATTAAAGCAGCTGTGCTGGATCGCTTTATGTCACCTTGACTCTAGCTGAAGTCATCTGAGAGGGGGGAACTTCAAGTGAGAAAATGCCTCCGTAAGATCCAGCTGTAGCGCATTTTCTCATTGGTTACTGACGTGAGCCCATTGTGAGTGGTGCCACCCCTGGGCTGCTGTAAGGAAGCAGGCTGAACAAGCCAGTAAGCAGCAGTCCTCCATGGAACTGCCTCAGCTCCTGCCTCCAGGTTCCTGCCCTGTTCGAATTCCTGTCCTGACTTCCTTCACTGATGGACTATGGATGTGGAAGTGTAAGCCAGACAAACCCTTTCCTCCCCCACTTGCCTTTGGTCATGGTGTTTCATTATAGCAATAGAAACCCAAACTAAGACAGCAGTCAAAAGGGACTAAGACAAGTGTGTGCTTGAAAGTGTGTCTGGTTTATGTTGCTCAGCCCAGTATATTTTTAGATTTATTTATGTGTGTGAGTGTTTTTCCTATGTGTATGTATATGTACCACATTCCTACCTGGTGCTCATGAAGCTTAGAATAGGGCGTTGAATCCCCTGGATTATTTCCCAGTCTTCAAAGGGTCGCTTCTGTTGCATCCTCTGAGACTACATTCTTTTCTAAGGTGGCTTGTATTTCATTTAGTTTTATTTTTAGCACACTCATGAATCACTGTGTAGTCATCTGGACAGTATTTTGAAAGTGTGCCTCTTTCATGTAGGGTCAGCCGTGAGAGCGTTATTGCCGAGATCAGTGTCCCAGGCTTCAGGACGTCTAACTGTCCCAGGGTGTTAAGTTTCCGCACAGAGTTCATATTGGTGATGCTCCACTCCTGAGCTCCCGCCCCATCCCACTCTGGGTGACCAGCTTTGAACTCAGTGCAAGTCAGGCAGCCAAGCTCCGCAGCAGCTCCCACTTACCGACTTGGCTGAGTGGTCTGAACGTTGAGGAGACTCTCCAAGCATCTTAACACACCCCTAAACCCATGTCCTGTTTCTCAAGGGGACGCGTTATGAAAGGATTTCAGGAGCTAAGTGGCCCCAAGGCTGATGCCAATGTTAATTTTTTATTTATTTGTTTGTTTATATTTATTTTGAGACAGGCTGTTACTATTCTCCTTGCTGGACTCTCTATGGACCAGTCCTGTCTGGAACTTACAGAGATCCACTTGCTTCTGCCTCCCCGGTGTTAGGATTAAAGAGTGGACCACCACCTCCAGCATAATGTTAATTTAAATTTCATCAGTCAAATAACCATTCACATTCTGCAGTTCAGTATAACTGAGTCTTGCCTTTCCAGGACTCTGCCTGGAGGTGGAGTTGCCTCCAGTTGCCTCCTTTACAAGGCCTTGCATGCTGGTGATTGTCTATTTCAGTAAGCTCCATTTTCTTCTTCTTAATTGAAACCAAAGGTGAATACTCTCTGTTTGCAAACCTGTATTTTGTGGGATGACTGTATCCAGAAAACCATCTGATTTAGCACTCAGAACTGGTATGGGACACTTCTCATCACCAGGAGGTGCTATAAGTAAAATCATCAGTGATTGCAGCCCCTTCTAATCACAGGGTTCTTAAGTCATCAGCTGAACTCTCAGAAAAACTCTGGGGAGATTTCTCCACAGCCCTGCAGTATTGGAAGGTGAGTTTAGGTGTCTTTGACAGGTCCCAGGACAAATGGCTGACTGCGGTGCCTATCGGCAAACCAAAGCACCCAAGGGCTATGATTCCCGCCCTCACTTCTGATTCCTGTAAAATCCTGCCATCCAGCGATGCACTTTTTGCTCTCCTGGTTCTTTTTGCCTGCTTGGCTCTCCCTTGGCTACCCCCACCCTCTCCTCTCATGGCCCGGGTCAGTCTGCTGGCCATGTTCAGTCTGTCATTTTCTCTTCCTTGCAGATGCCTCTGCTTGTTCTCTCCCTCATATCTGCTGTGGATATTGCTCTGTATGCTGCTTGGGTCTGAGCGCCTGCAGGAGCCGGGTGGACACAGGAAAACTCCAGCTACACATATCTACAGTAAAAACCTTCTCCTCAACCGCACCTAAGAGCTGTCATGGCCTCATTTCATTCATCTTGTCATTCAAAAACAAATAATAATTGAGCCTTGTCTTCAAGTTGGGTACAAACAGAAAGCGCCTTTGAGGACCAGTGCTGAACACTATAGCCTTAGCTGGCAGTACTCAATAAAGTTTGGCACAGAAGACCAAATATTCCAGAACAAATCCATATTCCCTTGTATGAATTTCTTAACAGGCAGAATTGGAGTACTATCAGGCAAAAGTTAACCAGGCCAAATAAGTCCACATTTCAGCAGCTCCCTTAACACTGACTGAATTCTTTCTAAAGCCCTTTTCTTGAGGGAATGCTATTTCTTCTGAGATACAATAATAGCCCTGCCCCTT